CAGGAAGCTGCCTCCTGTCCCCGAGCCGAAGCTGCAGTTCAGCAAGAGCAGGTCAGCAAATTGCTACCCTGATCAAACGTAAACTAAAGCGCTCTGCTGTGATTGCACTCCGTAAATGTGAAAACTTGGTGCATGCTGAGAAATATCAAACAAGAAAACTCCGTGATGGACGCCGTGAGATGGAGTAGCGCTGTGTGGCAAAGAAATGCGGCCAATTCGACGGGCCTGAAAAATCCAAATTGGCTTTTGTGATCCGCATCCGCGGTATTAACAAAGTTGCACAAAAAGTGCGTAGTTTTACAGTTCTGTCTTCGCCGCATTAAAACGGTGTGTTCATCAAATTGAGCAAGGCAACCATTAATATGCTACGTATGCTGGAGCCTATATGGGTCGTGAATTGATGTACAAACGTGGAATGGTCAAGCGTGTCCCAATCTCTGCTTTGTGATCGAACGCAAATTTCGCGAAGCGCACGAAATTCAGTGCGTTGATTCACTTCACTTCAAGAAAGCCCCCAACTTCCTGTTGCTATTCAAGCTCAACACATCAACCCGAGGCTGGCGCAAGAAGGCTAATCACTACGTTGAGGTTGGTGAGGATAAGATCAACAAATTGCTGCACAAGATGGCTTAAAGAAATTGTTGTTTTGTATTTAAGGCGACAATATAATTTGGCACATCTTCAAAAGACGCCCAAGCAAAAAAAAAAGAGGAAAATTAAAAAATTCCTGAAGTTGCCTTTTCACGGGTCGATTTCTGTCGACTGGAAAATTTACTTAAGATATCGACTAGCCAAAACGCTTACATTTTACGGTTGAATTGCAATTTACACGGCTAGATTTTGGTTAAACGACAAAATCGACCGTATAAAGGCAGCTAAATAACGTTCCATAAAATACCAATAACCATTTCATAATTTCGAAATTATTCCACTTATATTTGTTCTTGCATTTTCCACACCACTTGTGAGGTATGCTTTTACGAGCGTTACCGATTTTTTTTTTAATGTGCTCGGTTGCCCAGGAGGCATATTTTCACCTTTACAACTTAACTTAAACAGAATTAAAACTAAAGCATGCAATATATAAAGAAAATTAAAAGTTGTCTTACATCTAGTAAACTTAAAAAATTGCACATTAAATTCATTTTTCATTATAAAATTAAATTAAATATCACAATTCAGTTGAAGTGTATACATATGTACATATTTACAAAATGTGGTATGTTTGCACCCACAGTAAGTTCCCATGAAGCCTAGCCTAAATTCATAACTGAAAACAAGTAATTTTTAGAAAAAAAAACGGACTTCAACTCTCATGATCCACTGATCGGATCTTAACCAGATTAGTAAGGGACCACCTCTGAGACACTACCTTTCCGATGCAAAAAGAATTATCGAAATCGGTTGACGTGGTCCAAAGTTATGCGGTAACATACATAAAAAAAAAAAAAAAATATTCCGACGAACTGATAACCTCCTCCTTTTTTGGAAGTCGGTTAAAAAAACGAGCAAATGGGGTCGGAAACTACTAGCCCTAAAAGCATAATGTGGAAAATGTTTGAAGAGCTGCGAAATTGTATTGCAATAATAAAAATAACAGTGCATAAATTGGAAAAATGGTTTTTGTTTTGCTTTATAATTTTTGGGAATATTGGTTCAGAAGGAATTTTTTTATTTGTTTGGTTTTTCAGCTCGTTAATGATGCACCCAGGGTTGCATTTACTGTCTATGAAAATATTTCATGAAGCGTTCCAAAATTAGCTCTTAGCAACTAAAAGTTGGTTAAGCTTAAATGAAATAGTTTTTTATTAAATATTTATTCCTGGTATTTAGTAAAACTCATTCATCTCAATATTAATGTATGAAATGAAAGTAAATAAAAATCTACGAATACATTTCATGAATATTTTGTCATAGGGCCATTATTAAATACAGACATAACTTTGTCGGGCGTTGGTGCTGACGTATATAGAATTAATGCGTTAGAGAGAGATAAATATACAAGCTCAAGCGCTAATTTAGGTATACTTGTATACCTGTTACTCGTCTGGCATATACTCCAACTGCGAAAATAATGACAATTATAATCTATTTAGATGCATATTTTAGGTAAATATTATATCGTCGCCTGGATAAAAGATTGTCACAAGTTACTTTCGGTAAATCACAATTGAAGTTTGGAATGCAATTTCTCAGGAACTAGACTACAGATTTTCTCCAAAGTATCGGAGAATGCTATGTACTAGTTCATGAAATTCTTAAATTGTTTTTTTTTTAGTTTAGTGTCAACCATTTATGAGTTTAATAAAATTTTGTCGAATACGATATTTGTCAAAAAATGTGCAGTCAGTTTTAATGATATACGCCAAAATGTGATAACAATTTTTATAAATTAACTAGACTTTTTACTAATCAGCCTAATCGTGAGTTTCGCCCGAACCAAATTTCGCCAACAGTTTTTTCATCCACCTGTAGTGAATACACGCAAACGAAAAGTAAAAAGTGACCCGGTTCTAGAAAATGAGACTCATGATAAAGCTGAGTATGTCGGAAACTAAAGAAGCACAGATAACTCTATTTGAAAGATTTTGATTAGTTTAGTACGACAGCAATACTAACGCAATTTGTACCAAATAACCGAAAACATTTTAGTCAATTACTCGGAAACTAAAGAAGATATCCAAAAAACACAAATTGTCAAAATGACGCTTCCGGCAATTTTCCATCCAAGCGACGATATTTGAATGTTACTCGCATATTTTCGAGCCTGTATGTAAATTTTCGGGAGAAAGGTTAAAAAGTATATTCATCTGCTGAAAAGATATTTTCGCAGATTCACAATTTATTTAAAATAAATCTATCAGCCCTATCTCCAATTCCATGTGAATAAATCTCTCCAGTGCTTAAATAATTTTCACCACAATAAATAGCTTCACAACACCCTAATTGCCGAAAAAGGGTTGCTTGCAACACTAGTCCTTTATGGGGACCAAACTTGGTGAAAAATAAGTAAGAAAGTCTAAGTTCGGGCGGAGCCGAACATTAAATACCCGGCGCAAATATTAAATATATGATTTTCACCTTTCCGAAAGCTACCGCTACATGGTAAGCCGGGGTGTATCAATTTTGAGTAAATTAGCGTCCTTAAATTTCAAAATATTGACGTTTCAAGCATTTCTAAAATTTACCGTTATATGAAAAACCATAATTTCCGATTTCAATAATTTTCATCGTTTTGCTTTTATGTAGCAAGCACAATAAAAATACCGAGTTTGGTACAAATTGGTAGAACGGTTACCGAGATACATATATGTGATCATAAGTGGGCGGTGGCACGCCCATTTTTCAAAATTTTTTTATAGACGTATTTCCTGGTAAGGAATTGTTTAAAGCATCAATTTTGAATAAATTGGCTTTAATATTTACTGATTTATCGAAGATTTCGTATTTCTCCAAATTACCGTTATATGAGATGTGGGCGTGGTTATTGTCCGATTTCCTGTACCAAGGCCAATCACTGTACCAAGTTTGGAAGAAATCGGTGCAGCGGTTGCCAAGATATACACATGTATCCATAAGTGGGCGTGGCTACGCCCATTTTTCAAAAATTTATAACATTCTGGCTGAGTCAGTGGTGATCGTCGGTTCGAATCCTACTGAAAGAAGTCTGATGAGGAAATGTGGTGATTTCCGAAATAGATACCACTTCTACCATTTTTTCAAATTATTGTTGCTTTTCCACAATAAGTTTTCACTAAAAACGGCCTCAGGCTCATACAAATTGTTCAATATAATTGTTATAAGGCCATAAAAATAACAAAAACAAATATTATAAGATAAGTTTTTTGTAGAGCGTCGAATTTCCTACAAAAATATGTATCGCATTTTTTAGTTCGATAAATCATAGCCGAGAAAACAAATTCCAAAGTTGAAAACAATTTATTTTTTTCTAAGTAATTTATATGGAAAATAGAAATACGCGATGCGTCGCGCGTTATGGTCTGATTATGCATACTTCGCATAACTTCGCATAAACTTCAAACTGTAATTTCGTATGTAAGGCCTTAAGGCTTGCGCTTCTAACAGGCATCTTTTAAATTCCCCCTGGAAGTAATTTTCTCCAACTTTTGCTTAAAGGTATGTATGTATGTAGCTTACAGCTCTGAGTGCATTTTCAGTGCATAATTTCAAAAAATTCCAAATTTTGAGTTGTGTCACTTTTGAGGATCGTGTGCCAGTACATATGAAAAGGATTTTTCCCAACAGAATTCCCGTTAGTGAAGATTCCACAGCAAGAAAATAACACATTGGCCGGCAGAGACGTGAATAGGGACCGGAACGAAAACAGGCGCCAAATCGACGAGAAAATGCAGAAGCAATGACAAAATTTAAAATAAAACAAAAAATCAAAAAACAAATACTTTTGAATGTACGTGATTGCAATAATAATGCGAGTGCAGCAATTGAGCAGAGGAATGACGCCGGCCGCCGCAAGTGCAAATGCACTCACATGGAGTATATACAAAAACAGAGAAGCAGAAAAGAAGAAAAAACATGCAGCACGGGCTGAAAATGTGGAATTATTTTGCCATGATTGTTGTTGCTTACGAATGGACATGGGAGGGAGAAAAAACGCACAACACGCAAACAATAGTGGATAAACGTGTGAGAAAAGACAATAAACGAAATAAAATATCAAAGCAAAATAACGTGATAACACAACGAAAACACGAGTGCAACGAAAGAACATAAAAAAATATCGGTATGGAGTATGGAGCACATATAGATTGCAGCAGAAGATACTCAAACGACGGCGAGTAATTGGAAATTTTTCATTGAAGAAACCTTCCGAAGGAATTTATAAACAACCTTGCCAAACTGGGCATAAAAGAATTGTCGAATTTGTAAAGGAGCGATATCAAGCTGTGAACGTAATAGAAATACGAAAAACACTTGAGCACATTGGCGTGCAAAGATGCACTTAATTCTAAATAACTTACCTGTTTTACTATGTAGGCTTATAATTTCTTCATTGTTTATGGTAAATGGCCAAATGCATCAGGTCCTCTTCTTTTAGAATGTACTTTTATTATCGGCTTTGTACAACTCAAAACCAAATGCGTTAAACATTTAAATACAAGCTTTTTAATTAATAATACATCGATTCACTTATCGGCGAGAAGCTTTTTTTTTAATTTCCACTATTGTTTCCAATTCTAAACTATGTTGTATGTATATTTCACTGCAGGAAAATCCGCGCACTAGAATTTATACATGCCACAATTATAATTGCTTGATATTTGTTCAGTATATTCGCTATATGGCGCACTATGTTCGTTAAAATTTCGTATTAAAAAGCAAGTATCTATTTTATTCTATCTATTAGCTATAAATTCAATAATTCACTATTTCCGACGACGAATTCCACAAAAATATTTTCAGTTCTTTCCGCGTTCAACAACCGCACAGCAAAAGATCAAAATCCATTTTGAGCACAGTTATCTCGTCGCTGTCATCGGTAGAACGAGCGAATATCAATGTAAATAACGGAAGCGGCAAAAGAAAAGATGAATGTCAGAACAGGGATAGATCACAAAACTTCCACTGGAATCTACCGGACGTCACTGGAATGCACTACCAGAAGTATAGGGTGATAAATAAATAAATCGGCAGTTGCTGCTACTGGTCGCAAGGGGCTTAACCCGTTTTTTACCGTGGAAGAAACCAGCACTTTAGTGGGGATATGCTACAAAGCAACGAAAAATGGTCGGCAGCATGTAACGCAATAGCAGGCGTTCTGAAGGGGCTAAGGACTTCCTTTCTCCCTCACGATGTAGTGCTTGACATCATTCCAGTGGGGTGCAGAGTTCTAAGAAATAACATATTTTTCCTTGTTTTATAGCTACATTTTAAGCAGAAAATGTAAAAGTATGGCATCACCATTCGTGTTGCCAAAATGTTTACACAAGGTGTCTTCACACTGAGCTTGACACTCGGTATATTGGTGTGCGTTAAATTTTCCCCAGGTATTTTGTTCGTGTAAAATTATTTTATTATCGGTTTACCGATTGCTGAATTATCGTGGTAGAACCTCATTAACGAAAGACACACTATTTTTGGTTTTGGTAGAAACTGAAATCAGCAGTTCGAAATTTATTGAATAGGTTTTTTTCCTAATGATCCGGACTGGATCCGGAGAATAAACGAAAAGTTGGCTCTCAAAAATGGAGCAAAGTCCAGAAGTACTGGAACACAAAAAACCACATTTCGTACCCAGAATTTCAGAAACAGCTGATTTACGTTTGTTTTTGTTTTTGTCACTTATACACTTGTAAATTGAGTTTTGGTTTCCTAAATTTGATATTCTGCCTTATCGTGAGTTTCGCCTGAACAAAAAAATTTACCCGAAAATCTGTCATCCGCCCATAGTAAAACCATGGAAACCAAAAGTGAAAAGCAGGGTCGATGTGTCTTCTTCAATTAGACGATACTGCACTGTGTGGTGTAGGATGAACGCTAGTCCCCCACCATTGTCTCGCTCACGATCTTTAAGCTGTCTTTACATGGGTAGACTTCTGTCGGCTAGAAAATCGACCAGCCAAAACATTTTCATTTGATGGTTGAATTTCCATTTATACTGGTGATTTTGTTTGAAGGACAAAAATTGACCCGTGTTAAGGTAGCTTAAAGATCACAAGAGATTTGGTGCGGACTCTAGAGTGATGTGGGTCGTGGGGCGACGAGAATTTTTGTTCTTATTTGCTTTTATTTGTACACCATAGCAAATTTTTCCACCACGTCTCATCACGGAGGAAAAAGTTACCGATTGGCACAGGCCCTATGGTATTTTTTTTTTACCTCGTCTCACCACGAAGAAAAATGTTACGGTGCCTATGTAAATAATTGTGGAAATTCTGGCATATTTCACGGGGTAATATTTTGTTACCAGCTTATGAGATGGTAACAAAATTTGTCGGCTACAAGAGTACACAGAATACGCAAGGGGTTTAAAAATTTAAAGGAACTTTATTTGCTGCTTACAAAATTTGTATTACTACCGCAGAACAGACCTGTAATTGTGTTGTTTGCGTATCGCAATGAAAGTACTCGCGATGTGTAGACCTACTGCGTGGTGTATTTGCCTTTATGCTTGAAATACAATACCGGCGAACAGCAAACTTCGCCGAATTGGGCGTTGCTGTCGTTCACCGTTCGCCTACTTAAACAGAATTAGAGCGGTCGCCTTTATAATTTAGGTGACAATATTTAGGAAAAACTAAACCATATTTCGAAATGAGGAAATGATGTCAAATATAAATGTAAAACAAAGCGAGATTATTATAAATTATTTTGTTTCAAGCCAGATGTAGAAAATCTATAACTATATTTTTCAAACAATAAAAATAATTCGTGTTTATGTTGTTTTCTTTTAAAACTTTGAAAGCAAAAAAGGAATACGGCCACCTTTGGCACTCACAGCAGTCATCGCCCAGTAGGGCGATAGAAATCCATCGTCACGAAACGCCGACGAGCGAATAAAGGCCTGCTCAAACAGGCGCGGTGCGGCACGGTGCGGTATAATCCCGTACGATATGGGGTATCAAATACCATGGCGGTATATGGGAGCACTCAAACAGACGCGGTATTGGAAGTGCGGTACACCGCGGTACAGAACTCTACCGCAGCATGCAGCGTTCACCGCGCGGTATAAGAAGATATATCGTAAGCAGAGTTGTAATTTAGAGCTAGAGTTCTACCACATATTCTATCTACAAAAGTGCTACAGATTATAAATTCTACCTTTTTCAGTATAAAAAACCTGAGTTTAAAAGTGCTCGTAATACATTTGTTGGCATAAATGTGATATTCTTTGGTTTTATTTCTCACAAAGTAAATAAAATAAAGTTGAATGTTTTTCAAATCTGGCAATGTTGCTCAGAAATATGAACGGTAAATTTACTGGAATTTACAATTCTTTCGCAAAAGGTACATAATGGAGCGCAGATATGGAAATATTTATAAAATCTTTCTTCTTGGTTACGCAGTTGGGGCATCAGGCTGGAAAATTCACCACCTTCTTTTCTTCTCAAATTTATTTCGTGAACCCATCTTCTTTTTCTTAAACATATACATAAATTAAGAACTTTGCAGGATAAAACAAAGATGTAGGCATATTCATACCTTCTGTTTTCTTCGTCGAGAAATGCTGCTAATAGCAATAATTCGTACCCAGAGCTTGAGCTGTCCATCGCGAAAATCAGATTTATAATATTGTTACGATTATCCTTGAAACCTGGTCCGGATTTCCCAAATCTCTCGGTTCGTATCGCTGGATTGTTAAATAAATGCAATCGATGACCAAATGGTAGTACAATTAACTTTATTGTACAACAAACAATTTACAATAGTCGCTAATACAGTAAAAACACTTTACAATACTTGTTAAAGCAATAACAGCGCTTAACTAAACTTGATAACGCAATTAAACTTATATCTTGCTTATTCGCAACTCACTTCTCTGCTCACTTCACTTGTAGCTTGCTGTCTTGTAACTCACCTCGCTGTGGCAGCGCCCTTATATACCTGCGCTGGCACTCATGGCAACTCTAGAACATTCTGAAGTTTATCGCTCATTCTCTTTCTCTCGCTGTTCGCAGTGTTCATCCCACTTGACGTTTCTCTTTGTGGAACATTCTACGTCATTCATCGAACATTCTGCCTATTTCTCCTGTTCGCTTTGTGTTGCCGCAGTATTCGCCACAATATATGTATAAATTTAGAAGGAGGAATGCGTAGAGTGCCGTCACATGGCAACAATGTTTCGTGCTATACCGCACCGCGCCTGTTTGAGTGCCTTTGCGTATATCGTTACCGCGTATCGTACGGGATTNGGTACGGGATTATACCGCGCTGTCCCGCACCGCGCCTGTTTGAGTAGGCCTTTAAGCATTTCGCTTTGGCTGTATTCAATTTCATATGCTTGCGGGTGTTCTAATTTTAACAGCGCGAATTTCGCTGTGGTGTGTTGGCATTGTATCTTAGATATTAGGCGACCAAAAAAAAAAGAGTAGAACGCAAGCCAGATTTTCAACCAGTAGCTCGTTTCTGTAACAATTCTCTACCAAAGCGAATTGAGATATGAATTCGCCGCCTTGTTCTCTACTGCTAATGACTATTAGAGAATGACGTATATTCTCTACCAGTAGAGAAATAATCGGTAGAGAAGAGTTGCAGGCTAACCTAATATTCACGCACGCCGCCAATTTATTGTCAAAAATTTCTCATGCACATGCAACTTGTATGAGATCAACCGAAATTGAACGGCGTGCGTATGAAGCTAACTCAATTTCCAATTTTTGTTCTGCGTGACATTTTGATTTGACGTTTCGCTCAATGAAATCAAATGCAAACGCATGCAAGTCAATTTCGGGTGACGCAAAAAAACAAATTCGACGGCATGCGTACCAAAACGCAAGCCGCGAATATTAGGTTAGCCTGTTACAGAAACTGGCTACAGGTGAAGACGGCCAGTTACGTTAAAAAACTATCGAATAAAAATATCGGTATCGATTGGCATCGTTTCAAAAATTGCGTTTCTATTGAAGACCGCGTCAAATATTTTCTCCAACATACATATTCTTATATTTTCTCATATTAAAACAAAACATCCGTTCCATTGTTATATTTATTAGTAATTTATGTTTTAAACTGACTTTCGTTTAAGCAATCCGTCAATTTCGCTGCAACAATACTCTAGACATGCGACCAATACAAAAACCTGGTCCGAAATCAAAAAGCCGGCAAAATCCGCATAAGCAGCCAGTTGCCGATTTGGGCGAAACAAGCACCTCGAGTGAGACCGATACAAGCTTTTATTCACCACCAAGAGATGAAAATGTTACAGACTATGGTTTGGACTTTAGCAATACTTCTCGACGCAGCCGTGCACCAACCACGGCAACCCCAAGAGATACTGCAGCATCTTCGTCAAGAAAAGTGGCATTGCCACCTACAGCATCTACATCACGGGCACTGACAAGACGCAAACAGCAGGTTCCAAATCGAAGAGAACTGCGTAAGCTCTTAAACCGTACTGATTTCATGATACCACGCCTTGCCTTTGGGCGAGTAGTTCGTGAAATTATGGTTAGCTTGGGGTCAGAGGTGCACTGCATAACTCTGGGTGCTTTAGAAGGTCTACAAGCAGCAACAGAAGTGTATATAGAAAATCGGTTTGAAGATGTGAATATGTTAGCAATGCACTGCCGTCGTAAAACGATAATGGTGCGAGATATGGAATTAATTCAATTTTTGATGAGCAAAAATTGTGTAATTTGATAGTTTTCTTGTTTATTTTAATGAAATTAACATGTAATTTGTATGTTTTTATGTTTGTATACAAATAATGCATGTATATGTATGCATATTTGCAATAAATTTTAAGACTGCACAAATCCGTGTGCTAAAATATATATGTATATATAGTCATACTCTTTTTAATACTTAATGTTAGCGAAAAAGATAGGCCCATATTTTAAATGCTTCAGATTTGCTCGAAAATGACATGTTGGGGAATATATTTTGTTATGTCGTTGGCTTTAAAAAGTATTTGGTTGGAGGCAAGATTGCTTAACACTAAAATGCCGGTGTGTCAGATTTGACACATTTTAATTTTCAATGACAAAGGCTAGATTTTTGCCAGTGGGTTTTAGAAATTTGGTGACTTCATTATTCGTTGAGTTGTTGCAGTTCCATACTTTTTAAAAGGTTCTTGGTAGAATGTATTAAAATACGCCTTCGATAAAAATTTTGAAGTATTATTACCAAAAACAACGGAGTTACATACATGCAGGCCTGTCGAGAGGATGGGGCTTTTAATGGTCCTTAAATATCAGAACTACAACTTTTGTTATAGGCTTTTATTAGAAATATGTATATTCCATCATACGGTAAAGAAAATGATCACATGCCTTTGAATCAATACAATTTATATATAGGGCCCGTGATTTTTCAGTCCCTGCATACATGCCACTTTTTAAAAAGTCCTACCTGTTTTTGATACTCATTTTATAATGTTTTTTTGCTTCTCCTGTAAAAGGGTAAATACACGACACCAGCTTTCTGGCACCGTCAAGTGATTGTACCATCAGGCTCGAAGCATATATAAATGAGGTCCGGAAAAGATCAAAAGGAGTAGGGCAAAAATTTGTTAATTTGCATACCATTTTGTTAAAAATTGGTTTTTTAACTCACAACTGCAACATTGTGAACTTTAATCTTCCACAAACACGGCTTTGACTCATATAGTGCAAGAAATTTAAGCCAAAATAATTTTTACTTGAAAAAATTGCCAATTTCACTATTCAGGGCACCGGTAGTGGATTTCTCACAATCGCTACGCTAAATTTTGTCGCCAAAATTCTCTAAATGAAAATCAGTAGCCCTAAAAGTATACTATAACAGGTCTATTCTGCGCTGGTAATAAACAGTTTGTAACCGGTAAATAAAGTTCCTCCAAATTTTTAAACCCTTTTCGCATTCTGTGTACTCTTGTAACCGGTAAATTTTGTTACCATCTCATAAGCTGGTAACAAATAATTGCCCCGTGAAATATGCAATGCCAGGATTTGCCCAATTCTTCATAGCTGAATTGCTGAATATTTTAACTGCATTACCAACGTGCCTAGAATCGCGGTGACAACAACTGGTTACATTTTTTGGTAATACAATTTTCCGGTTACAAAATCTTCGGTAACATGCAGAAAGACCTGTAATGGTAAAGTAATAACTGTAATGTGTAATCAGCCAAATCTGGCAGTATGAGGGGCATGTAACTAGATGTTGCGTGTTGTTAGGCGTACCTGCTATTCTTTTGGAGATTTTTGGCGATCAAAATTAGCTATAGCAAATGCTGGAATCCTGCTGCTGCATGCTGGTACAATCATAAAAATATCAACTCGTTTTTGATGTCACACAAGCAGCTGGTACAAGAACATACACAATCAATCGGCTGTCGCCAACACTTGATGGCGCCAGCATGCTGGTATCATGTATGGGCCCTTTAAAAATATAAACAAATGTTGGTTAGGGCCTTAGTGAATTAAGGTGACGATATGTATATCTTAAACTCCCTACATCCCAATTTTAGCGAGACCTTTTCAAACCATAGACGAATGGTCTAGGATGTCCGATAAGATTTGGACAAACAGATGCCGCATTATCCACAGTTTGTTGGCTAGCGAAATATGTATGTACGTTGCAATTAGCTGCTCTGCGAAATGTGATCAATAGTATAGTGGCTTTGCCATCCAGCGAAACGCTAATTATAAAACGTATACTCCACATTATGAGGACGTAAACGGCACTACGTGAATTTTTTTAAATAAACTTTCAAGGGCTTGAATTTCATACAAATTTGGCAGAATCTAACTAAGAATAAGTACGTGCATAGGTATACATTTAATAAAACAATCTAATTTTATTTCAAACTTAAGAAATAAACACTTTTCAATGTGATAATTTAGTACCTACAGCCAAATTCACGAAAGCCATTTAAGTGCAAAATTATTTGAATTTTTAAAATTTTATATGGATATTGACAGAAAATAAATCATTTTCCATTTTTTTAAATGGAATCACAATTCAATTGGCATTTGAGTTTCTAATTTGATAAGCGTATAACCAAATTGAATCATAAATAAATTAAATAATTATGTGAATTGTACTTTTTTTGAAGATACATAAACCTATGGAAAAATAATAGTAACGCCACATTTTTACAAGTTTTCTTCTGTTTGTTTAATGTTTATTAAATTTATATAAATGTAAATTTCAAACTTTATGCAAAAATTTGAAAAATTTAACAGTTTCATAAAAAATGCAAACTTTCTGTGCAGGTTTTATTTTTATAGCCCATGTTACAATAATTACAGGTATTGGGCCGTATGAATAAAAAAAAGCAATTGCTTAGTTTTTATTCATACGGCCCATTGTCTTCCCAGTGAGCGCATATTCCGATCCGCCTTATTTGAAAAATATCATTGTTGCCCACACTAAGAGGTTTACTGTAATGGAAACGGGATATTTCTATTCACCATGTCCATTGGGGTGGTCCAAAGTAAGTAAAGTCGGCATTTTAATGTTCTCACCCCCTAGGATTGTTCTATATCTAAAAAGTATACCCCTATTTTTTCATTATACCCGAGCGCACTTGTGCACAAGGGTATATTAATTTTGTTCACATAACGGTTGTTTGTAACAGCCAAAACGAATCGAGATAGATATAGACAAATGTATACATAAATGATCAGGATGAAAAAAGAAATCGATTAAGCCATGTCTGTCTGTCCGTCCGTCCGTCCGTCTGTCCGTCTGTCCGTCTGTCCGTCTGTCCGTGTACACGATAACTCGAGCAAAAATTGAGATATCTTAACGAAATTTGGTATGTAGGTTTCCCTTAATCCAAGGTAGGTTGGTATTGAAAATGGGCGAAATCGGACTTTAACCACGCCCACTTCCCATATAACGGTAATTTCCAGAAATACGAAAACTGCGATATTTTAGTAACTACTGGAGATTATTCGCTCAAAATTGATATTTACAATAATTTTTCGACGAAAAATAAGAATATTATAAATTTTTGGAAAATGGGCGTAGCCACGCCCACTTATGGTTACATGTGTATATCTTGGTAACCGCTGCACCAATTTCTTCCAAACTTGGCACAGTTGTTGGCCTTCGCACAACATACTAAATGGCCGAAAATTTTTAAAATCGCTCAATAACCACGCCTACTTCCCATATAACGGTAATTTTCAGAAATACGAAAACTGCGATATTTTAGTAACTACTGGAGATTATTCGCTCAAAATTGATATTTACAATAATTTTTCGACGAAAAATAAGAATATTATAAATTTTTGGAAAATGGGCGTAGCCACGCCCACTTATGGTTACATGTGTATATCTTGGTAACCGCTGCACCAATTTCTTCCAAACTTGGCACAGTTGTTGGCCTTCGCACAACATACTAAATGGCCGAAAATTTTTAAAATCGCTCAATAACCACGCCTACTTCCCATATAACGGTAATTTTCAGAAATACGAAAACTGCGATATTTTAGTAACTACTGGAGATTATTCGCTCAAAATTGATATTTACAATAATTTTTCGACGAAAAATAAGAATATTATAAATTTTTGGAAAATGGGCGTAGCCACGCCCACTTATGGTTACATGTGTATATCTTGGTAACCGCTGCACCAATTTCTTCCAAACTTGGCACAGTTGTTGGCCCTGGTACAGCATAAAAAATCGCCGAAACTTTTTAAAATCGGACAATAACCACGCCCACATCCCATATAACGGTAATTTAGAGAAATACAAAATCTTCGATAAATCAGTAAATATTGAAGCTAATTTATTCAAAATTGATACTTGCAACAATTCTTTACCAAGAAATACGTTTATGGTAAAATTTTGGAAAATGGGCATGGCACCGCCCACTTATGATCACATATATGTATATCGGTAACCGTTCTACCAATTTGTACCAAACTCGGTGTGGTTATTGTGCTTGCCACATATAAGCAAAACGTTGAAAATTATTGAAATCGGACTAAAATAACGGCCGCTTTTCATATAACGGTAAATTTCAGAAATGCTTGAAACTTCAATATTTCGAAATTGAAGGACGCTAATTTACTCAAAATTGATACACCCCGACTTACCATCTAGCGGAAGGTTTCGGAAAGGTGAAAAAACATATTTAATAATTTTTTAATAATGAAGTTTTTTTATTTATCCCCCCATTGCATATTCTGGCATTTTCTAGTGGTTTTGGGGGACCTATAAAATGTAGTTACTAAGAAAAAATTGTTAAAAGAATAATTGGCTATTATTATTGGGAATCTGTTGACGAGAAACACAGTCTTCCGATCGAAAAGTATTGATGTTCAAGAATTCCATACCATTTCCACGAAAAGTTCTTTTTTTCCCATACAAAATACATGGAAAACTTTAAGCGCTTTGAACGATCTCTAAATATTTTTTGATTAAAAAAAAAAAAAAATATGGGTATACTTTTTTTTAGATATAGAACAATAAGAAAACAGAAAAAGAAATCGTAATAAAGCAAAAGAATATACTCAGAAATATTTCACATACTTTCATATTTTCTTTACCGATTTTTATTTTGTTTTAATTTACGCTAGTCATCAGTTCAAGCTCTTTTTGTTTTTGTGGTGCTAATTTACTTCCTACAGCTTTTTCCAATTACATTTTATTTTCTTCTTTCTATTTTTTTGGGTTTTGTACATGATTCAATAATTGAATCATGGTTTTTGTAAACTTATTGACACGGAACAATTTCTTAAAATTTTATTTGTTGAGTGTTTTTTTTACTTTTGTTTTCTTGATTTTCTATGTATGAATTATATATTACATAACTGCAAATTAAATTCTAGTGCTGTTGTTGTTGCTGCTTTTTGCTAGCCTGCCGCGTCGACTTCCGATGATGTGTTCCACCGTTCTTGTCTTGCGCCACAGCTGCCGCTGACGCGCTCATGCTCATACTTGTAGTGGGCGCATTTGTACCTTGACTCACGGTTTGTGTCGAATTTTTTCCCGGATGAGGGATCGTGAAGAGATAAATGTGCAAATGATTGCAAATCTCCACGCAAACCTGTGGAAATGTTGAAAAACAAGGTGAGATTAAGATTGAATAAAATGATCAATGTGTATTGCATGATATAAACTACAATACATGTACAGTATATTTTGCTTTGCTGCCTTTATGCTTAAGTGCACATTTAAGATACCTACCCTAAAATGCGCTTTAGCGGCATTATTTTTAACATTTATAAGGAAACTCCTCCGATAGATGCATTCAATATACCTGCGCATTGGCGAATCCAGCCTTAAAAATTGTGCAACTATTATTAACTATCAAAGAAAGTATTAGGTTTACCTGCACTGGCCCTACAATTACCTAATTTTACAAGCTTTTATTTATTTTGCTCATCTCGCAGAACAACGAAAATGTCTATCAATTAATGTAGTTATATAGATAATTAGATACCATTCGGTAAAAATTTCGCTTGCGGTAATTTCTACGTAGTAAGTGCTCCTCCATTAATTGGTTTCATAGGTATTCGGATACCTTCCTCATTGAAGTAGTAACGAAAATTCGCTTAAGTGCTTTTTTCGGTTAAGTGCACAAGTTTTTCGTGCAAAGAAGGATGGGCAGCTAAGCAAAATATACTGTATTATAAGTACTTTAACTTTTAAACTAGTAACTAGTGGCGCTGTTGTCGCAAAAGAACAAAGGTAAAGCATAAGACCCGAACAGAATCAACATACAGATGCTGGAAAACTATGTCTTATGGGTGTCGAGCTCATTGCAGACACGTTTCACCTGTAACTGTCCACCCTGATCATCAAAGCCTCTTCAAAGCCAAAGCAGGAGTCAACCGCATGAAAAATCTTCAAAGGTGCCACCACGCAGCTCTTCATAAGGGTATAGGCTACGCGACAAACGATACTGGCGGTGAAATAAAGTCGCATCCTACCATCGAATCAGTTCATCATCAGGATTGCGCTATCGACTTCGTTGTTGTTGTTGTTGTAGCGGCTACAACAACCCCGCCCAGATAGGCTAACATCTCAGTCGTTGTCGTCAAGTTCCACTAAAGGCAGCCCCAAGAAACGTCAGTCAGTTCATATAGATGCCTCCTGACGTGCCTCGGCGAGGGCTCCTCTGCAAGCAGCTGTCCATTTGGGTGGCCACATCTGTGGCTCCCAGCAAGAAACTGCTTGCAGAGCATCGTGTTGTGCTCTCTAATTGGGAGCATTTTCGCCTCGTCTATCAACTTCGTCATCTCCCTCGGTTTCAGGCTTGCCGAGTAAGAGAAGGGAGAGGATATAACAGTTGCCGGCCTTAGAAAAACTGTAGACTAATGCGCCAACATGTAGACTTCCTAAACACAGAAGACAAACGACTGGTGTGCTTTGTGGAACTCGGCAAAAATCGCTTAGGGGGTTACAGTGCCCAATAAGAAGAAGTAGCTTCCCTGTAGTTAACTCTCGAGCATGGGTTATCAATTACATTTACGGACGTCAATATCGAACAATCGTTAGTGAGATTATGGAAACTCTATTTCGCGGTGGGGAGAGCTTCGAGATATAGACATCAAGAGGAGCCCTCGCCAAAGTATGTCAGAAGGCATCTATACGAACTAGGAATGTTGTAGCCGCTACAACAACAACAACGGACGCCCTGCTTATTTTATATGGGTATTGACGTTTCATCTCGGAAAACGACCGACGATTGTCGACCACTCAGATCGTTCGGTGATTACCGTCTGACGGCCTGTGGGAGAGTGACCTCAATGTCTTCTAGTAGCGTGCAATGAAAAACGACGTCAAACGTCTTTGACTGATCCAACTTTACTGGGACTGCTCTGTTTGGCTCTGTCCATCGAAGGTACGAAATGAAATTTTCGCTCTATCATCGCGCATCTATGGCTAGGACCTTACGGTTGACCACAGTTTACCTACACCAGAGGTGAAATGGCAGGTCTTCAGGTGTTCTTGCCCCTTCCAACTATGCTATTCATATGAGCAAATGTGCGCTTAGTGTTTCCTACTTAATAACATGCATATGTAGCTGTTAAATATCATATAATGAGAATTACCTTTGAGCAATAGCGTATGAGATCCTGCGTGCCCCAGATCAGCGTAAACCATAGCAACCAGATTTCCGGCAGCACACAGTTGAAGTATTGATTAAAGAATAGCAACGCTGGACCCAATTGCGACCAATCCAGATATTCCATTTCGGCTTTTGTCATGTGAGCGATCTAGCGATGAGAGAGAGAGAAAATAGTGAGAGTAGTGAAAGAGTGCAACTTAATTTTTTAAGTATTTCTTCTTTACTCACCACCAGCTTATTGGTGACTTTGGCCGCTACCATGCCAAATGCCAATATGTACAACGCTGAGTGTTCGGTGAAAATATTTTGTGGTGATTTTTGAGCAATTATCAGTGCGGGCAAAATGACCATTGTCAATGGTATGCTGGGCGAAAGTACGCTGGTACCCTTGAGGGATGCGCATGCGATAAGTAGGTGATGATTGAAAAAAAAACAAAACGCGTATTAGAAAACGGTTAGCTAAGAGGTGCATACATAGGCATTTATGTACATATGTATGTAAATATAAAACATTTAAAACAGTCACAAATCACACAAACGACTCAAAAAGAGGTAAACAAAAACGAAAACGTAAAGAACGGTGTCTCGACTTGCGCCTAGTGAATTGTAGTAGAAAAGTGAGACACAATACTTTCGTTGTTTGTTTACTAGCGCGCAATAATATTTTCTGCTGAACTACATCTTTAAATACATATTTACTTTTTTTTGTTTTAGCTGAGTTAGGACAAAATCACTGCTTATGACTTCATCTTTTGTAACTAAGGGTATTTCTTTTGTTTAGATTTTTTTAGTTTTAATTTTTTCATTTAGCAATTACTTTTTGTATTTAAAGAAAAATACAAATTTGCTATTAAGCTTTTTTAAACTTTTTTGTGGAGCGTGAGCGGCGAGTAGTAGATATCAAATAAATTTTGTTTTGAAACAAAAGTGAAATTAATGTGAGGTTAAGAAGAGTATGTGTTTTACTGCAAACAAAAAACTAAAATGGGCTTTAGGGGATACATAGTTAGGACAGAAGCCAAGAGGAATGCGATAGTGTGCAAAGAGGAAATGAATTTTATTTCTGGAAATATACCATCAAGTAATTACCAAAAAATATACATACAAATGCGTAAATAAGTTCCTAAAAAAATATGCATAAATATGTGCTATGTATAATAATTTTATTTAAGTTAAGTGAATAATGACATTACAAGCACCTACATATAAGTGAGTTTAGACAAAAGATTGCTGTAGTTTCAAATAGAATAATTCTTATTTTTGTATTTTAAGAGTTTAGTTGCGAGCCTTTTTAAGCGTTTTGCATATTAAAGTGATATTCCAAATATATTTTTTTTTTATAAAATTTACTTAGTTTTGCGTTAAAATACAATTGAAAATTGCAGCTCCCGGAAACTTGAAAAATACGGTTTTTAAAGAACGTTTTCATAGAAAAAAGACATTTGAAAACTTTTTCGTGCAAACCAGTTCATTTCTAAATATTATTTTAAAATAGTACGCCGGGTCATAATTATAAGTGCACCACATATTGACAAGTTTTAATAACTATTTTTTTATTATTTAATTTTAGTTTTTTTCCAAAAATATAGTTTATTTTTTAGCAATAACCGTATAAGTGCCAGTTTCAATCTTTGTGCAATATTTTCGAAGAAGTGTCGATTTCTTTGAGAGATTTTGTAGTCCATTCAATCTTAATGTAATAAAGTGCAAGCTTGAAATAGCTGCATTTTTGGAAACTATTTGGCTGAAGCTGTTCTTCCATATAAAAAATCGTCGACAATAGGTATTTGTATGGCAGAAAATGCACATACCGTGAGCAAAAAAATGTTTCCAAAAATAAAAGTTTGTTAATTTTTTTAATATTGCACAAAGTTTGAAATTTGGATTTGTACGATTTTTGTTAAAGAATAAACTATATTTTAATTGAACACAAATAGTTTGAACTTGTCAATATGTGGTGGCGCTTATAATTATGGCGCGCGGTATATTTAAAGGAAAAATTAACTATTTTTCTGCAGGCTCCATTGTCACATATTACTCTTAGTAAAAAAAAACACACACTACATGCAACCTTGTGTACAAATCATTTAAAGCTACTAGTTTTATGGAATAAAAATCATGCATGAAAAATTTTTGTAAATTACAAGTAAATATAATATTAAGGAGTACCAATTATAGTATTTATTCAAAAAAACCTAAACCATGCCAAAATCTATGAATAAAAAAGCAAAACTTTTATGAAATTATTATACCAGAATAAAATGGACAGTTACAATTGTGAACCCTTTTCGAACGAAACTGGGCAAATCTAAACAACTTAACGAAACAACTGAAGAAGCCTACTAGCAAATCGAGGTAATAATGGAACTATGACTAGATGAATGTGTATGAGAAAATGCGCTTGTTTGTATGTAGATGTTTGCATAGTGAATGGCCCTAATACGAAAAAACTAATAAGTATAAAGACAACGTACACATGAAAAAGCAATCAACAATGAAAAAAAATTGCGTAATAAACAAACGCAGCCATTAAGGATGAAAATTGGAAAATAAAATAAGAAATGTAATACCCGATTTAGTGCCATACAATTTTATGCCACACCCCATTTGTGTGATGGCTTAAAGCAGCACACATCAAATTAGAGAAGAAGCGTGGATGTGAGTGCCAAAACTTAAAAAAAAACATTTAGTTATCCGATTTTGGCTTTTATACTTACAATAGAATTTTGATTATACATTTTTTTTTAATCCGAAATATTAACTGTGGAAATAAATCGTCAGAGTTAACACAGTTTTTGCTTAAGTTCAAAATGATTTTTTGTTTTATGAAAAGCTGCGTTTTTTTTAAATACTCCGAAATTAAAGAAAATGCTTCACTGGCATCTTGAGAATTTTTTTTTCTTTTTTTCCTTTTACATTTTATAGTTGTAACTTTTAGTTATGATTTTCTTGCAGACTCTGAAAATTCCGAATTATTCCAAAATTATATGTAAGTAATTTTGAATGACTATATTTCCATGGGCATGGCTAAGCTTGGCGTACACCCCTGAGGCTAAACTATTTTTGCAAAGCAATTTCGATATTTTTTTTGCCGAACCAAAGCAATACATATATTTTTTCTTAAATAGTGTTACTACTGGAATAACCAAAATACTCCTTAGCAAAAGTATGAATGATTTTTGGAGAGCTTTGATTTACTCGCATTAAGGTGGTACACTAGGGTTATAAGAAATGAGTTCTGGTGCGTAAGTAGGTACTAGAACGGAGTACTTGAGGTCTCGAGACAAGTACATCGATAGATCATACTTTAAGATTCGACTGTAAATACCGAAGATATAACGGAAATGCAAAAGGCGATGAAAACGTTCGACTCACTCCGAATATTTATAAATGATTACGTATTCTTTTTGAACTGAATTTTTTATAAGCAATTTCGGCTCAAATTTACGTTTTTTCCGAGAAAATCCTAATCACTCCACTAAAATTTACGATCTTCTCAAACTCCGAAAATATTTGCGAATTTTCGAACTACGAGTGGTTCGAAATTTGTAGATAATATACGTAATATTCTCCGAAATTTTTATCCTCCTAAGAAATGTTGAATTAAGTTTGCAAAATCCGTGATATTCGAAACACCCGAGTCACTGAGAAGAAATTTACAAATTAAAAAACGTATGAGAGAAATTATCTGAAGTTTAATAAGCGATTTTTTAGATTTCAAAAAAAAAAACTCCAAAATGGCAATAAAATGGTTTGAAGCATTTTTATAATATATATACATATATAATATCATAAATGATCTTTTGATGCTTTCAAGTTACACCCAAATTGAGAAAAATTGTAGCAATGGAGTTTTTCTCCGTGACTTTTGGCGCTCTGAATGGGGTATAACATTTCTTTTGAAAAAGAAAGAATTTTTTTATACAGCAAAATAAAACAAAAATGCGTATTTACATTGAAATTTACGCAAGGTTGCACGTACGTACATAAATACAGGATATTTCAATAAGAGTTTTCGTTGAAAATTAGTTGACTAAACTCGATAAACTAGAAAATATGAAGCTTGAGAAAAGCACATTGACAATCAAGTAAAAGTAGCAAAAATTAAAATTTTTATTTTGAAAACTCTTTCTTTAAACAGCCAGTATTTAAACGAAATAAAGTGGGACGATAAAAAAAGTTCAATGGAAAAGCATATTTACAAAAAACTAATAGAAAAGTACTAATTTTACTTTATAATGAAAGAAAATAATGGAACCCGAATTTTGTTGCATCAAAGACAAATAAACAATGAATGACATCTAATAATAGCTCTTTTAGACTTGTTTAGACGAGCACTAATAGTAAATTTTAATTGAAAATTTTTAATTTTTTTTTTTGGTATTTGTTTACTACGCTTACAGCAACGGATGATCCATTTTTGCCGCATCCTTCCGTCATAATCACACGCGCGTTACGACAAATAAATAAAATGTAAATGCCGAATATAATATAAAGCGATAAAACACGCGTTTCACAGCCAAATATTGGGAGCTGTTGAGAGTGGTGAATTTGTAATTGACAAATTGGTTGTTGGTTGCGTTGGTAGTGGTGGTGGTGGTGGTGGTGGTTGGTGGTGATGATGTTCGAACGAGTCGTTTTGGATGGTTGTTGGTAGTTGAAGGAATAGGCATACATATTTTTTTAATAAAAAAGGTACATTTTGTTAAACTTGTTTATTGTAAAACAATGGGAAAAATTAACAATAAACTAATTAATAGAATTATAAACGAAATTTGAAGTTTCTTTTTGCTAATAAAAAAAGTGACAAGAAAAACTTGAACCTAATTAAAACAAAAAACTTATTATATTTTATTTGTGTTTGAAAAAAAAATCTATAGTGTATCAACCAAGTAGTTTATTATGAAATTCATTACCATTCAATTAAATAATGCCATAATTAATTCTTTCACTAAAAAATAATATGATAACAGTAATTTTAAAATTTCATAAAACTATCTATATATGTGCATATATTTTGATTCTAATGCCAATATCTACATACAATTTTACGTTGAATAATCGTTGAATTGATTGATGATTTCCTTCGAACTTTTCGCAACCAAAAGGAAAATATGCTTGCGACTTGGAACTTCACTGACTAAATACAATTTAATTACAAATTTTTAAAAACAATCATGCCACTACTAAAATTCAAAACTCTAACTAACGACGCTGACGAGCTGGCCGACCTATCATTGCGTATGTACATATGAATGTATGAAAGTATGAAAAATCTGTAAAATATACGCCTTTGAATTATGATAGAGATGCCCGATGCTTTTTTCGCCTGTAGCCATTGCAAAGCGTGTATAAGCAGGTATGCAAATTTATTTGTTGGTTTCCCAAAATTATTTCAAAACGGAAGCTATGACAAAGCGCAGGTGCATAAACTGAAGCGGTAATCAACATGAACTTTTTCAGCTATTTAGTAAAAAACTTACATTGTAACTCAAGTTAAAAAAAAATATTTTAAATTTTTTATTTCAATGAAACATGTACATTAGACTGCATCACTCCCCATCCAAAAAAAAATCGGTACTGTGTTTCCATTGGAATTGTAAAAATCTATTACATTTTAAGACTTACACCAAAATATTTCGGAAAAATATTAAGATTTACGTGAGCTGGACCGATTTGAAAATACCTCCAAAAATGTAGTTTTTTATGGATAAAAACAGTTTCTTAACGCATTTTTTTTTAAATCCCTCCAGATGACAAAACAGTTTAAGCTTAAAAAATTTGCAAAAATATTAAAAAAAAATCATTTGAACGGAATCGTAATCAGATTTTTTATGCTGTTTTTTTTTTACTTTTTCAAAGATTGATATTAGAAAAACTTGAATAACTGGACCAAAACTATTCCGATTTAGACTTGCTAGGTATCATTGGAAAGGTATTTTCTCACCCTTTTTCTTTCTTAAACTAATCTTTGAAAGAAGTTAAAAAAACAGCATCAAAAATCTCATTATATTCCGTGGAAATTTTTTTATTTTTATTTTTCTGCAGATTTTTTTTAAGCTTAAACTGGTTTGTCATCCGAGGTGATTTTTTTCAAATAGTTCTTTAAGAATCTATTTTTATTCATAAAAAACTAAATTTTTGGTGGTATTTTCAAATCGGTCCAGCTCACGCAGATCTTAATATTTTTTCGAAATATTTTGGTAGACGCCTTTAAATATGTACCTATAATAAAGTTTTTAATTCCGGTGGAAAACCGCAAATTTCTTTGGTGATGCACAATGGTCTTTGGTAATGTACATAGCTACTTTTTTCACGGATTTTTTAATGCTTAAAAAATAATTAGTAAGCAACTTTTACTATTATTATTATTGAAGAATTAATTTAAGTAAATTTTTTCCGATATTTTTTGCTGATAATAAACTTTAGTCTTTTTTAAGCAAATCAATGAAAATTAGTCATTAAACTCGATTTTTAGGGACACGGAAATAACTCCGAAATTTTTTGTTTAACTCTTCAGTCATATAATTATTTCCTAAAAAATTAGTTTGTCCAATACAACAGTCAATGGCTCCGAAAATATTCCTACATTGATATTTTCAAATAGGCACCAACATTTTTTAATTTAAAATAATTTATTTAGGGCTCAAATTGTAAATATGTATTGTTTTTTAAAAGCCAATTTCATTTGAAAAAATATATATCGATTAGCAATGATTTCTTATTATTGTTCGATAATCATTCAAGGGTTTTCTGTTGCAGGATTATTTCCGATAACTGTACTATTCTGAGTGATAAGGCCTACAATAACTACAACCATAAGAGTGATTCTTGAGTTCTACACATTTACAATATTGTATTTAACAAAATGATACTATCACATGTTGATTACCCATACCGCTGGGCCGTGTTATGCAACTGCCAACTAAAAGAAGATAATGGTATTACATATGTATATGTATGTATTATGGCCAAATCAAGAGTGAAAGTCTGATCACATAATCTTTTAAGAAGAGAAAAAATCGAATATATCACTGTTAAAATGCACTTATCGGTTAGTGGTGATAAACAAAGCGTTACGAGTAGATAATAAAATTGATGGTGCTTTTACAACAACAAAACACCATTATGACGGCCAGGTGTTTACAAGTATTTGCTATACTTCAGAATTAGCGCATTTTTAAATTAGTTAGAAGTATTAACAAGAGGCTTTTAAGTGCTTTAGTCACTAGTGAATGAATGATTTTTTGTTTTTACAAAATAAAAGGGACAAGGTTTAACGTTTGGTTTGTTTTTTTTTTGTTTAGGTAATACAATTCATTCTTATTTGGTTTTTTGAATTTTGTTTTTGTTTGTTTTATGCTTACAGCAACGGAGGAACCATTCTTGCCACTGCCGCCTTCGACAAACATTTTCGAAAAGTTGATCATATTCACGAGATAACCCAAAGTAATGCCGATTAAAATGATATAATTCCAACGACCGCCAATCAGGGGAATCTAAAGTGTGTGTAGACGTAGGTACATAGTGTGTTGGATAATTTTTTGTATTTTGTTGCGATTTCGATTTTTTGTTTTGGCACACCGAAAAAGATAATCGTGAAAAGAAGAGAAAAAAGATAGTGTAATAATTTAGTTTCATATAAAATCGGATTTTTTTTTTAATATTGTCTTAGCACAGAGGCTGGCCGCAACACAGTGGCGCCAGTGTTTGTGAGCTCGAAGAAAGCTGTAAAAATTAAAAATATTTTAAGAAGGAAATGTCGGATATAGAGAAATGAAAATTACGGTAAAGGTAGATAAGTAGAACAAATGCCATCAAATGAGAAACCAAAAACCGTTTAGTTAAAGTGCGTACTAGGTGTTAAAATTGTTAGATTAGAAATAATAGTAATAATTTAACAAAAGATAAATCTCTTTTATTTGTATATTGCAAGCCTGTTCTGAAAATTGTACAATTTGAAAAGTACATATTTTTTTAATATTCGTAATGCAAATGGAAACTGCTAAAAACACATTTACATACATATGCATTTTTTTACAAGTAAGAACCATCGAAAGCCAAACTGCGTCAATGTGGGACCTTATGTGAAAATTGGGTCAAATTGAGTTAATAATGCAGTTATACAAAATTACTTAATCAAGATCTTGATCTTCCAAAAGACGTCATTCGTTTTTGGATATCTCCTTATTTTCCGAGATATTAGGTCAAATTTTGTCGTTAAATTGGGTCAAATTGAGTTAATAACGCAATTATACTCAATTCAAATGGCGTTATCCATTTTTGCATATCTTCTTTATTTTGTCTCCCAGATATTTAGTGAAATTACGTCGTTAATTTAGTACAAATTTTTATCACATTTTTGTCGTACAACACACCTTCAAATTGTTTCCAAATCTAACACACGACAAAATTCTGCTAAAGAAAATCATTCATAAACTCAAAAATAATCAATAATAAACAATAAAAACAAAATAGTAACATACTCTGAAACGTTGGAGAAAATTGAAAGTCGCGTATTTAATAAGAAATTGAATTCCAAACTTGAATCACGATTTCTCAAAATTCGTCTAATGTAAAGGACAAAATTCCGGGCGATTATTTGTACAATATAATACATACATAGATGCATTAAATGAAGAGGAACTCAACATTCTTTACACACATACATACATTCTAAACAAAATATGTAAAAATATGTTACAAAAAAAAAGTTTCTCAACTTTCTTATATGTAACTCCGAAAATGCTCCGTAGATTGTCAATACTACTTGATGAATTAAACTTTTGGTATTGGATTTTAGTAACTCCGAAAAACGATGCGAATTCTCATTAAAACTAATTGAATTAAATTTCTTAGTAAGTCAAAAATATGCTCCGAAAATATTAGCAGATCTAAGAAAATTATGTAATTAACATTATTGTTCAAACGATTGAAGAGCGACGTTTTTAGTGACTCCGAAAGTACTCCGAAAAAATCTGGTAATAGTACCTACTTGATGAATTAAATTTTTGGTATTGAACGCAACGTTTTTAGGAACTCCGAAAACGGTGTGAAATTTCATAAAAACTGGTTGAATTAAATTTCTTAGTTAATCCAAAATATACTCCGAAAATATTAGCACACCTAAGAAAATAATGTAATTGACATTATTGTACAAATTATTAATTGCAACGTGCAACGTAGATTGCTATACTCCGAAAATATTAGTAGATCTACGAAAATAATAATAAACTTTTTATAGAATACAAAATATACTCCGAATATATTAGAACATCTACGATAATAATGCAATGAACTGATTCAAGACTTAATTTATTTTTTATGACGCCGATACTACTCCGATTTTTTGTTTATTTTGACAGTTTGTACTTTTTGCCTCGTAACTAAGTAAGTCTCCTGAACTTACTGTTTATTTACGAAGCATTTACGCGTTTATATGAATACCCATATGACCGGGCCTTATGGAAAAAAAACTAAGCAATTGCTTTTTATGTTGGTGTTGGTTGATTTTTCCGACCGGGTGCTAAGCTGATTTACTTTGGAACGGATTTCCGTCTTTCCTTGTCAAGCTTGCTTTTTCTTAAAATTTCAGACATTTTACTCGATTCCTTCAGATAAATTTAAGTAAAAGGTCTGAAATTTTAAGAAAAAGCAATTGCAAAGTTTTTATTCATAAGGCCCAACGTTTTTAAGTTAGATAAATCTAATCACTGTCAATTAAATCGTCAACTCATTAAAAAAATTATAATAATATAAATTAAGACACTTTCATTTGGATTCTAAATGCGATAAGACCCCAATTTGAAAGTTTATATAAGAGGAAAAAATTAGTTTGTCTGCCGCCTTCAAGTATGCTACCTATTATGGAATTCTGATGATAAAGTCGTCACAGAGAACATTTTTGGTGAAAATGTCACACGAGATTTGCAGAAATGGTAAATTAAAGAACATAAAAAATATTGGCAACTAAACGTGGCAAAGTAAAATGTAACCTTGACCCATAGAAAACAGCATACATTAATTTAAATATAAAACAATAAAAAGCGCACAATATAATAAAGAAAAGACATACTTAGGTAGAAGATTAAGACAAAAATACATGTATGAATACATTATTAAACAGGCAATAAAAGTGTAAAAAATTTATAAAAATTCATCGATGAGTAGTAAGAATAAAAACTTCGCCATGGAGTACCCAAGAAACTGTAAGTCATTGATTACGTGATTGCTACATATCGCTCCTATGCATGAATAACGTCACAACTCAAAAAACATGAAAGTAGAGAAAACGCGTTTGAAGTTTACAGTTTACATACGCTCCCAGAGTAAAAATTAAGACATATTTTCTTCTAATAAGTTATAATATAATCGATACAGCTATGAAATTTGTACACTACATAGAAGAGGTGGCGGTTATTTCTGTACGCTTATTCGTGCAAAGAAGCGATATGTAAGTGCTGCTTTCCAGAATGCTACTTTATATTGAAACTAATTTTTAAAACAAAATTATTCGCACCGATACAAATGCATGCATGTAGATTCCTTCAATCATATTTGATGGTTATTTTATAATTTTTAATAAGAATTTTTGCATATTCGATAGTTCAATATGGTAGCAACGATATGTACATATGTATTCTACGTTTGAACGTTATGTCGAATTTCCACTAGTCATTGGATAGACAAACAAAATTTGTAGCCTTTCAAAAATTTTTCTTATACACTTCACATGCCTTGTTGGGTGTGTTTTAAATTTAAATTCTTTTACTGCTCATCGATTACAATTGTGTGTGTTGTTTGTTTTCTAATATAAACCAACTCAATAAATAAGTATACATTAATACAATACAATATTAATAAATACAAAAATGTTAATGTCAACGCATGTACTTCGTTTAAATAGGATATATTTTGTATGTACTCTTAATGTATTTAGTGGTTGTATATATTTTAATCTAGTTTGGTTGCCATCATAAGTTCTCTTGGTTATCGCATTCTCTCAGCTAAGTCTTTCAAAATATTTTATTAACAGAATATTTCTAGTTAATTTATAGGGGCAAACATACGTCAGCAAGGAAAAAGTGTAAGCTTAAAGCCAGATTTGTGGAATAAATCAAAGAAAAAGAAAATTCTATAGCAAAATATGTAAGTAGGGAAAGATTAATGGAAAAAATATTTTTAAGGGGAAATTGATAGGTTCAAATATTTTTTATAAAATTTCGCAGGGGGTTTTCAAGGTTTGGAGTGGTCTTAGAAAGTTAGTTATGTTTCGAAATTTTTTGGGCTTTTGTGTATGTACTAGATATTGAATTTGAGTATCGATTTTTTTTAATTAAAAAAGAAAATAGTTTACGCGAACCTTTATTTTATTTATGAATGGAGAACCAAATTCTGCACCAATTGCAGGCTCCGAAAATATTTGACCCGAGGCAAAGCTTTTATAAGCTTTAAACTTAGCGCAGAAAAATTGTTTTTTTTGTTTTGAATTGGCGGAGACAACGTTTCGACGTGTTCTGAAAGTTGTTTATGTTCCGAAAAACCAATATTGTTTTGCTTTAGCAAATAATGAAAAGTTTCGAGAAATTTGGCGGTTTTTCTAGTTTTTAGCATTTATGCAGACTCCGAGAATAAAAAAAAAAAAAAACAAATTGCTCCAAGTTCCAAAAAATAGTTTTTTCGTATATCTTTCTGACAACAATACAACTTAAAAATTACATTATTTTATTCAATTTATAAATGCAATAAAAACATTAAATACACTGCAAATCAAATGAAAGGGTTCTCATAAAAGAAAGTTCATACAATTTTAAAATTTAATGCAGCAAATAGCATATCAAAGATAGGGACAAAATTTTAATATTTAAAAATTTATTACTGGAATTTGTATAACAAAGTGGCACCGAAACGGCCATGCTACAAATAAAAGTTGTATGATTTTTTTTTAACGTCAATGAGCGTTCATTTTCGTATTTATTTAAAAAAAATTTGATCATTATAAGTCCGCATTTGAATTAAGAAAATTTAAATAGTTTTATTTTTTCATAAATTTGATTGCCAAATTTTTATATTTTATACAAACTATCCCTTTTTTCAGTACCTTCCAGTACCTGGATTTCTATCTCTTATTTCTTTTTGTAACACTCATAAGTTTTTATGTTAAACTTTTATTTTCTTATTTAAAATTTTCAATGCAAACTTACTGCAACTGTGGAGCCATTCTTGCCAACACCGCCAGCCAAAACAACTGAGAATATAAACCATAATGACCAAATACCACAAACTAAGGTCATTAGCGATAGGATGGACCACAATTCAAAATTACCAAACATCTAAAGGGTATATATTTATAGTAAATTTATTATATACATACGTATGTAAGATAGCGTTGAGTTTAATACGAAATTTATACATAATGGCGTTTTATATAAAAAAAAACTATATGCCGATGTAATTTTACCGAGTCAATTTTTGAACCTGAATACCTTATATAAATTTTACATATCAGACGTTAGCCACATACATAACCTACTAAAATTATTCGATTATGATTTTTCACAATTTAAAAAAAAAAAAGATTTCCTTTTGCAATACTGATGAGATAATAAAAAATTATACTTTAGATGCCAACCACGTAAAAATATTTAGGTTTACTTTGTCATTTTTACACTAAAATGCATTTGAAAAAAATATTAATCACTAAAAACCATAAGCTTAAAAAAAGTGTAAAGTATACACGTAAAATAAAAAGAAACTTCAATTTGTATATTAATATAGCAGTACCTAAAAATAATAAAAAAGTGTAAAAATCAGGGTGGCGCAGGTTTAAATGCGTCAAGTGTCAATCTTTAATTAATACAATCTTTCTTAAATATGGCAGAAATCTAAATTACTCCGCAAGCTATATTTTGTATTAAATTATGAATTTGAACAATTTTTTGAATTTTCGGAGCAACTTCGACAACCAGTAAAAATTTAATTTTTACTCCGAAAACTCATTTATAACGAAAACAAGACTGTATGTATAGAAAAAACCTCAACAATGCTTGTAATTTGGAAATTTTAAAGCCATTATATAACATTTTTCCTATAGGTTTTTGTTTAAACGTTTACTTTTTTTACTTTTCCAACTTCAAAAATGACAATTCGCAGTTCCGAAAATTGTTATTATGATGGTTGAAAAGCAATAAATTAAAATTGAAAAGTCAATTACAATTTTTTTCGATCTACGCCGAATCTATAACACAAAGGTCAGTTGATTTACTAACCTGCATGAATTTAACTTAGGACAATCTAATTTAGTTTACGATATCCCGAAATTATTCCGAAAAACTCCGAATATATCAAAAATTCAACGATGTTTGCAATTTAGACAAAATCGAAATTTTAAGGCCGTTATGCCATTGGACGTCGATGCGTGAATTGGTTATGATTCAGTTAATTTCGATTAACTTTTTATGCCTCTAACCTTGTACTTTTTAACTTCGAAAAATAAATTTTTTGTTTGTGAATAAAGAAATAATGTATGCTTGAGTAGTACGTTAATCTTTTTAAACGACACTTGGCGCATCTGTACCTGCATCCCCGGCATAAAGTATCCTAAATTGCAAAAATAGGAGTAAATCGTAACAAAATAAACAAAACCGTACCCGCGATTGCCACACATCCGGACCGAATACGGCCGATATAACATGTATAGCCATGATGGTGAATTGCGCCTCGGTCACATCGATTTTGCCAAACCGCAAAGTACCCGAAACGTATGTCTGCCAATGAGCGCAATAGAACAACGCAATGGCACAGAAGCACTACAAGATGGAAAGAGAGCGTAAAATTTTAAGGACAAAACAAAAATGAAATACAAAAAAAACATACGCACCTGAAAGAATAACCAATTTGGATATTGTCCCAACTGGCAGGATATGCACGCCGAAAGCGCCACGAAAACGGTCGAAATCGAATCGCAACCATGATCGAAAAGCTCACCCAATGGTGATGAGGTATTTGTGCGACGCGCCTGCTTACCATCAATCGAATCTAAACTCTGATAGATGAATAGGCCAAACGCGCAGAGTAGGCTAGTCCAGGCGGGTGGCGGCGACTTGGCATCGGGACTATATCTGTTGGTAGGGGAAAAGTAGAATCGATTTAGGAAATTAAATATTAAAATATACATACATATATTTAACATGTTTACAGAAACTAAAAATGGTTACAGGAAGAGACTAAAAATGACCATTAAATAAGCATCAAGATTTTTATTTTTAGATTTTAGTTTTTCTGATAAAAAAATAATAATTGTTAACTTCGTATTTTTAATATTTCGTGCAAATTTAGTCGTTATATTGTGATTTTTAATTTTTCTATAAAAAATAATCTTCCTTTTTGATTTTTATTTTTTCGATAACTTTTAACTGCTATTATGGGGTTGTGTTTTCATGACAGTTTTAAATCTTTTATGATCTAAACAATTTAATTTGAAAATAACGGTTATGGTATGATTGAAAAAGTAAAAATCACAAAATGTTGAATAAATTTTACCCAAAAAATAAAAAATAACAAATAACCATTAACCATTAAGTTTTAACGAAATAATATGAATCTAAATTAATAACCGATACGGGCCCTGCATTTTTATATGTCTGCACATACATGTATGTGAGTAAATTCTTGTAATGAATCGTTTGTTATAGATATGGAAGGACTAAGCCTTATAACGGCGCTTTTCTTAAAATTTATGTTACGAGCAAAGAATTAATGCCACCTCAAATAACTCTAGATACATATTTGAGTAATGAGAAGGAACATTTTTCTGGTTTCCTCTGGTTGTATTTTATTACAAAAAAAAAAAAAAAAAAAATAACCTTAGACTATAGCAATTTGCAACTCAAAACCAAAAATATTTTTTTTGTTTTAAAGTTCAATTCTCTAGTCACTTCCTTTAGATCGATTATACACTTGCATTTGTATGTAAACAGAAGATTTGCGGCTGCATACGTACATATACATACAAATGTATGTATATAGATATACACTCACGGCAAAATGTATTGGCACAGCGATTTGTTTACAATATATCGAGGGCTGAATGGAAGATCGACCTATTTCAAAATTTGGTTGAAGAACGCCCTATCTGAATATATTTTCAATATATTTTGTTCGACAATAATAACACCGTCAGCAAAAAAAAAAAATCCAAAAATCAAATCGATTTTTTATAAACTTCAAACTCACTATGCTATATATACTAAAATGGATTGCGCTAAAATACTGCACACTAAGAATTTTTCTAAAAAATCTGATTTGAAAGTTGCAAATTAGTACGCAAATTTACTGAATTTTCCTGAGTTTTGCACACAGTTATAGCTGAAATACAATGCCGGCGAACGGCGAACTTACCACAGCGAAATTCGCGCTGTCAAAATTAGAACACCCGCAAGCATATGAAATAGAACACAGCCAAAGCGAAATGCGAAGTTCGCTTGGCGGCGTTTCATGGCGATAGATTTATTTCTATCGCCCTGCTGGGCGATGACAGCTGTGCGTGCCAAAGGTGGCCGTATTTGTTTTTTGCTTTCAAAGTTTTAAAAGAAAACAACCTAAGCACGANAATAGCTGGGCGAACGGTGAACGACAGCATCGCCCAATTCGGCGAAGTTTGCCGTTCGCCGGTATTGTATTTCAAGCATAAAGAGATTTTATTTTTATGTTTTTTGTTGTAGTATGAACTATATTTAAAAAAAAAAATTGCGAAAAGAAATTAGAATAAAAAACTTTGCATGCATTGCGAAAAATTCTCTGTGCCAATACTTTTGTCCGGTACTATATGTATTAATGCGAAATATTCCCCACAGTGATGTTACAACAAATCGCGAGCACTCCAACTGTATGCCTACTCAGTACTTGGGTTGCAAAGTCGTGAACATTTACTTGTAAATATTTGCACGAATATAATTTTTGTAGTCATTTGAATCCAGCAATGGAATTTTACAGATATTTAATTAATTTTTTTTCTATTATTTTTTTTCGAAAATAAAAAATTGATTCATTATATTTTTTTGTGGGATAAATTTAAGTCCATTTTAAATTTTTTTCAATTTGGTCGTTGTATGTACGAGGGCAGTTTGATAAATCAGTGAGTTCTCAAATAAAAGTATTATCCTTTCGCTCGATATAGTACGTTCATATTTAATTAATCCTTTCGACAACTATTTTATTGCTTAATAAGTTACAGCAAGGTCCTTAAAATCGGCGGTGGTTTTAGTGATGGTCTCTTCATTGGACGTGCTGAATTTCCACGAGCTACGCCACTATAACCCGGGGAAACAACGAAAATGGAAACCTCGTCGTGGATCAGGTAAACGACTAGACTTTCTGTACCCTACATTAAGATTACCGAAACTATTGAAAAGCTATTTCTAGTGTTACCATCATTAACTGTACTGCTTAAGAGCTTCTATAAATGAGAGAATTAGTGCTCTAGTCTCACCAATAGACGGCCGATAAGCTGAACGTAACTACCGCAAGATCATGAAAATAGCACTTGACCAACACGTCAAAGATGCAGTGACGTTTAACAGCCCAACCACTTATGACTGCAGCAAGTGCGCAAAAACACACAGCAGGCAATCATAGCGCAAATTCTCAAAAACAAGACTAAAGCGCACCAAAATAGCCAGAACGAAACATTATCATCATTCCCCCGGCCAAGGAGTTCAGTTTGTCATAATAAAGGGCAATGCAATGCCGGTCTGACCCTCAATAATCTAAACCCACCAGTAGTCGGGTATCTTACGCCAACTTCAACTTGTCTCTGGCCACACGCTGCATATCAGAGATTACGAAGCAAGACAAAGTGATACCCATTTTCAAGCTAGGGAAAAGTGTGGAACTAGGTGACTTATACAGTCCGATCAACATACGAATATTCTCCACGGTGGCGAAAACGCTCGAGTCTTTTTCTCCTCCTATCAAAAGGCACCTTACATCAGCATGTATAATGCGAGATGCACATCATCGGTGCACTGAATGCCATAACGCCACAGATATAGAACTACAGTTATAGTATAGGACGGAAATTATTATGTTTGGCCTTCAGCCGCTCCGTTTTTCAGACCCTCTTCCGTTCTATACAGCTCGTTTAAAGCTTGTAGATCGAATGTAGAAGATAGATTTCCACAATACTGCGCAACAGAAACAAGTAACTAGCGGAAAGCCGTTGAGGAAACAACCTTACTGGCCACAAACAAATCCATCGGTCGGGCCCACACTGCCAAAACGCCACTTTCCAAACCGCTAATTCATGACGTCATTCCCAGTACCACCGTCACCCAGAGGCAAAAATGTGTCTGTCTAAGCAGTTTCGTTTGGCTATTAAGACTACACCACTTCAACCATAGTCTAATAAGCAGAAAGCTACCGCCAGCCAAGTTGGGAGTCATCTCAGTCAACATGAAGGAGACAAAGCTCAACATGCACAAAACGAGCTGCTGATTTTTAATCTTCGGTGGAGAATATTCCGACAAGTCCCCTTCGTTTGCCACTTGTCCGTAAAACCTTGAACAAATGGATGTGTCAAGTCCCCGCAGTTTGAAAATCTGGATATGTACTCAAGGACGCCACAAAAATATGATGCCCTAATCCAATACAAATGCATAGGACATAAAAGTATGAAACAATCAGAATCGTATAATTTTGCACTCAACGACCTGTTGCGAAACGTTTCCGTTACAAAAAGCAGTAAGCTGCTGAAACTGTTTTACGATGATAAATAGGTTAATGTGCCATTTCAACACTAGCATGCAACGCCAATGCCAACGGCAGCATTGACATCTACATTAACATAAGCCGCTGCGAACGGCGATGACAAGTATTTCTGTCAGTGCGCGCTAAAAGCAAATGCGAACATTGACAGCAACTCTCGCACAGAGCAACAAGCAGAACAAAACAAAAAGCTGTAAAAATAAAAATTAATAAAAAGAAAAAAAGCTAGTCTCCACCTTTTTTTCTTTCAAACATTTTTAATTAACCATAAACACAAGCATGTGTTGGTAGGTGGTGCGAAAAGCCGGCAAAAACTAAAACACAAATTCGTCATAAGCCGCGACTAAAAAGTACATGCAATTGTAGTTTAAATGACTACTCATGTGCAGCGTTAGACGATAAATTGCGCAGCGCGAAATGCCAACAGCGGCGCAGTGGGAGTGGTGTCGGTTGGGAAAAGTGCAAAGTGCAGACTGCCAGGTAATTTAGCAATGAAGAATGAAATATTTCTCATTTATACTGATTTAGTTACTTAAATGATAGTAATAAATTGTAAGCATGTACATTAGGGCGGGTCATCTTTTTTGACTATGCGCTTATTGCATAGGAGAATTCTATGTGTAATTCTAATCAACACCCGAAGAAACCATCCTAAAATCTATTTGGAATTTGCCAAATCGCGAAAATAGGTTTCGAAGAAAATAGCAAAATTTTCACTATTGCGCCCTTTAGTTGAAGTTTTAAGAAACAGATAAGTGCAGAAATGTATTCTACGTACCAAAAACTCCTTACAGCACTTCTTGACGACACTACAGAAAAATGTTAAGAAACCTATGTTCGCAATTTGGCAAATTCCAAATGATTGATTTTATACCCATGGTTTCTTCGGCAAATTTGCTTAGAATTACACGTAGAATACTTTTGTGCTATACGCGTATAGTCGAAAAAATTTTCCATACAAATTGATCCGCCTTAATGTACATATGTAGTAACTGCAAGGCACTGGGAAGTATTCACTGAACTCACTGTCTAATTTTACAGATTCGAATGTGAAATCCTGCTTAAGCGGGCATAATAAGCAACTTATCTGCAAACAGCGAAAGCGAAAACCTCCTCAGTAAAGCTAAAGGTACTTATTTAATCCATAAAGCGAGGCATCCGAATCGAAACTTTTCGGCGCGAAATATTGGCCAAGTGGTGAGCTCCCGACCCTTCGGCGGAGAAGGTCCAAGGAATTGTCACCATATGGCTGCACAAACGGCCAAGCACAAGTGCGCCGCGCCAACGAAGAGGTTGGAACTGTCATCGGGAAGCCGAAAGCCTCCAAAAATCTACGTTCAGCGGAAGTAAACTACCT